GCAGAGCTTGGAGCTGTCCTGCCGCTCCCGTAGGGCTCCTAATGGGCGAAACAGCCTTGGGTGTTTTTTTTTTTTTTTAAGCGGTAATACCGAGTAGCGAACATCGCAGGTGCATCTGCAACTTGTAACCTTAAAGGCAACTTAAAATCCCAAATGTTTCTGCAGCTGTAGTTTCCCAGGCCCTTATCAAACTCGGTTCTCCTCATCTGAGAGAAACGGCTTTCGGCTTTTCTGCGTCATTATTTCTAGACCCTTAAAGCTGTTCCGGTAAAGATGTAGACCTCTGAATAACAAAACTAAGGTGTCTGACAGCAGACTTTTCTGTTTTAGTGCTTTGGATGGGTTTCTTAAGTCATTCGCGGGTATCCCTTCCTGCTAACCTTGGGATTTATACAGCCCAAGGCAAAACCATTTTACTGGGGAATTGTTGCTGCAGTCACTGCAATAACTTAAAATATTTGTATGTGTTGTAATTAAGAAAAAAGCTGAAATTCTTCATGTAGTCATCTGTTACTTTTTTTTTTTTTTGGTCAACTATATTTAGATTGTGGGGGGAACAAAGTCTTTACAGAAGAAGGCAGCAGATGTTCGGGAGAAAAACACGGGTTGAGACAATTCAATAATTATGGTAAAGGATAAGAAGAAAGATGGCAAGAAATCAGAAAAATCTCTACGTCCTCCTGCTCCTGCACAAGATGCTGCAGTGGAGAGTAGCTCAGTGAAGCCGACAGGTTTGCAGAGCTTGGACGGAGAGGAAGAGCCACAAGCAGATCCTTTGGTGCCAGAGGAAGAGCCAGAGGCAGTGGAAGAACCTCCAGTCCACCATGTTCCTCTATACCCTGAGGAACCTCTTCTTGCTCGAATTATTGTAGAAAGGTATGTTTGCTACAACCACATCCATTAAGTCAGGAATTCCCATTTAAGTATCTATGGTGTGCCTGCTGTCCTACAAATATGGATTTGAGTCTTGTTTTGAGACAAGAACTACCTAGTATACACAGAGGCATCAAAAAGGAGTCTTTTGGGCTATTTAAGGTAGGAGTAAGAACTGTGTGTATTTGTCTTTGTTTACAGTATTACACAAATTAGGTTTGTGTGGTTACTCTGACGTAGTGGCCGTAATAGCTTATTAGCGATTCACGTGGAATTCTGCTGCCTTTCTGCATCCGAGAGCGTTGCTGGCACTCTCTGTTCGCCTGCCAAAAGCCTCATTCTTTTATCTTTGTTCAGGCAGAGTGAAATTTAGTCTTAAGTAGACAGATAGTTTGTGGATCAAATAGACCTACGCTGTTTTCAGTTGTTGTTGCCCTTTACTGTTTCGGGCCTCTGGTGTCTGCACCAGTGTGCAGACTGCAGTAAATTGAAAGTCATTTATTCTGTTTGTCGTGATCTAGTTTTACCGATAGCAACATGAAATGTTCATCTTTAGTTTGTTTTCTTTGTAGGTATGAAGGTGAAAAAGTCCACGGACTGTATGAGGGTGAAGGCGTTGCATATTTTGAGGGGGGAAACACATATAAGGTGGGTGTACAAATTAAGAAAAGAAAAAAAAGCGGATCAAGTTCTAGAACTCTTTCAATGTAGGTGGAGCCTGAGCAGTTAAAATGTGAAAGCTCTATAGGTTTCTGGTATTAAAACTTATTTTGAAACTAGTGGTTGGAGGAGATTTAATACGTTATTTCAAAATCCTACAGTCACTGTAGGCCTAAGTTGTGGTAGGAATGAGTCTGAAAACGATACTATTTTCTTTGTTTTGAAGGGCATGTTTTCTGAGGGACTTATGCACGGACAAGGGACTTACACATGGGCTGATGGAGTGAAGTACGAGGTAAAGTGAAGTGCAATGATTGTGAGTGAACACTGTTACAGCCAATAAGATGTGCAAATTCAAGAAAAGTAGGGAAGTTACAATAATTGGCACAGTACAGGTAGCAACTGCAGAACGATGGCAGTAATTTCAGTCAAGCCTGGGTTCTTCCAGGCAGTTGATTTTATCTCCTTTGCGTTAAGTAGGAGCAATGAGTCACGTGCCTTAGTTTTTCTAAATGTTGCAATTTAATCTTTTAGGGGACTTTTGTTAAGAATGTACAGATGTATGATGGCTGTTATACATGGAGTGATGGCAGCATGTATGAAGGATCAATCAAGAATGGAGTTAGGCATGGATTTGGATTGTTCAGGAGTGGTACGTGTCCAGTTTCTTACGTTGGCCACTGGTGTAAAGGCAAAAGACATGGAAAGGTAAATAGAAACATCAAATGAGAGCATTGTCTTGGGTGAGTAGCATCCAGAACAAAAAACACTCTTGTGCAAAGGTTTGGCCAAAAAGTTTTGTGTTGTTGTTGCATTGGTCTTGTGCTATATATATATATTTTTTTTTCCTAAAGATCTTCTTTGCAGTAGTGTATGCTAATTAAAACTAGTGAGGTGGGCTCTTTTCTGTAGGGATGAACGGTATGCCAAGAGTAATTGGTAACTTGTGTGTCTTGTCTTTTATGTTGCTCCAGTTTGATGGCAGCCATAACTGACAGCAGCATCAATAGCCACGTGTAATATGTTTTTGGCAGAATGATTAGCTTCCCACTAATGACAGAGTGATCCCATCTCCCAAACGTGTAATGCAGACTAAGTATGATAACAGCTAAGACTGTCCTATGTGCTATAAGTAACATGTATTTCCAACTTTTTAAATGGGAACTAGCTTTTATCTGTCTCAGTTTTGTGCATCCAGCCTGAGACAGTCTGACATTTTGAAGGCCGATGCTCAGCATGTGAGGAAGATCAGTTCTAATGATGTGTTTTGAGTTTTGTGTCACTAGTGGGACACTAAAATCATGCAGGCTGCTGTGGATGATCACCAGTGGAATGGTCTGTCTGATTCGTTCTGAGAAGAAGCAATGAGACAGGGAAAAACAGAACAGTTGATGCTGTATGCTAGTTGCATGATTGACTTCGAAAGGAAGTAATTGTAGACCTAGTGTTGAAAGTTGAGTTCTGGATGAGTCAGAAAGCTGATCCACCTCTGAAGGGTAACTGTGCTTAAGTTGCCAAAGTTACAATTTGTGAAAGTATTTCCAGCTGGGTTGAGAAATGTGGTAGACTTTGACATAATGTAGTATGCTTTCTTTTTCTTTCAACACTTGGTCTTTTTAAAGGTCTTTACTAGTTTCTGTAAAAAGAGGTTGTGTTTATATTTAATTTTAGCTCTTCAGTTGTTTTTTTTTTTTTTAATAAGCTGTTTATATCAAAGTGACTGTAGGTAAGAGTGTGATCATGTCTGGTATAATTTATATGAAATGTTTTATTAAACGTAGATAAATATTTAGCTATTGATTTAAATTGACTACACTATTTGTTTCAGGGTACCATTTACTATAATCGGGAATATACCTCTTGGTATTCAGGTGACTGGGTAAATAACGTAAAAGAAGGATGGGGAATTAGATGGTAAGTATGATAACATTTTTGTTTCTATCTTCAGATTTTTTATTTTGCATGTATTATCATACAGATTCTACTATTATTTAAAATGAGTAAAAATACTGCCATTTCATGATAGCATGTATTTTTGTAGTGGAATAAGTAATTGTACCAAGTGCTGGATAGTCAAAAAAACTTATGTTTTGCCTTCTGTATGACTTCAATTTTTATATTGGTATGTTTCTGTAGGTCGTTCCCACAAAGAAAGTCATCTAAAGACAAAATAATCAAAAATCTAATTTGGTAAAACCGCAAATTGTCATATTAAAACAAATCAACTCGATTGATTTGAATAGATGAAGCTCCTTTCGTTAATTAATGAATTATTTGATGGAATTACATGTGAAAGAATATTTTGGCTAGCTATGACAAAGATTCTTTGGACAAAAAGAACTGGTTTTGTTTTACAGTGATTTGTAAGTCAAAAATACGAAGTAAACAATGAGTACCATCAAACCAGTGTATCTAAGTCGCAGTGAGCCAACTTTCAAATGAATGCTAATATCCCCTGAGGTGTTACTGTAAACCTTGTTTTCATAAGATCCAGTTAGAATTCAGTATGCATCCACCGAATTATATAAATGAATAATTCGTTTGATCAGCAAAGTTATGCATGTTATAACTGGGATTCCTTGATCCAAAGCACAGCCATAAAAATCTGTTGGTTATCTCTCCGTTACCAAAAACATGTTGTTTTACTGAGGGCTTGTCAGAAAGGTGATATGATGCTGCATTCTTTTAATATCTCGTGGGTATGGTTCTCAGATCATGATAAGCTTGTTTGTACGTGTGCTCTAAGATCTTTGAATTTAATAGTATCTTAACATAATCAACTGAGGCTGGTAAGTGGCCAGCTGAGAATCTTTTCCTTTTATGGAGTCTATCTTTGGAAGCAATGCATGAGTCAGAATTTAGCAATCTTAATACAGAATATTTCTCCTGATGTGTTTCTCTTGCCTTCCCTCAGCAAAAGACACCTAACTCTCACTGAAGACCAATGAGAGACAAACGCTTGTTTATCGCTTTTTTTTTTATGAGAGCCTGTCTTACTATTTTCTTGTAGTGGCTAGGTCATTAACTTTCTTACTGTCTTCTGGCAGCTATAAGTCTGGAAATATTTATGAAGGTCTGTGGGAGAAAAACTTACGTCACGGAAAAGGAAGAATGAGGTGGTTGACAGCTAATCAAGAGTATATAGGACAGTGGGAAAGTGGCATACAGGTATTAAATCCTTTTCCAGCAACCTCTTTATTTTGATATCTGCTCATTACAGTAGTAAAACTAGATGGAGAACTTTGTGCGGTATCAAAGAAGCTTTGTGTGATTTGCCAGTTGAGATAGTGGGAATGTACTGTTTATTCCTAAGTTGAGTCTCATGTTGTTAGCCATATTCCATTTTTTAAAAGGCTGTTGACTTAGTTTTACAAAATGATAATTTAATTCTCTAATGGAAAATATAAACCTTTTTCATAATAAAACATTAAACATTCGTGGCTATTAAATCACACTGTTCCCTCTTGTAAAGATTTATGAGGCAAGAAGATTTCTGGCATTTTCTGTTCGTTGCCTTTATTATTCTGTTGGGAAAGAAATGAGAGCTACATCCACAGTCTCTTCGCTCTACGTAAAATTGTCAAAGAGTCAGGCTCCTGGAACACCACGGGTCTCTATCTGGCATGGCGTTCCTTGTGTGGCTGTTCAGCATTGCAGTCAAAAGGATTCAGACAGGAAGGACCTCTTTATGCCAGTCCTGTTGGCAGAGCCTGCTTAGGGATGTGTTGATTCAGTGTATCGTCTGAATGCTGCTCCCATGCATCTTGGTGGAGTAGTTGTACATACAGTTTGAACTACTGCAGCTGTCCGCTGGTGCTCTCATTTGAGAGTTTTATCAACAGTGAATCTTAGAGATACCTAGGCTCGTCCACTCCTTTTTATAAAGCAATATACCTGTAGCAATAGTAGCTCTTTTGGTGACTTCTTTTTTTCTTTTTTAAAATACCCGTTATTTTTTCAGCATGGGTTTGGCACCCACATATGGTTTCTGAAGAGGATGCCTTTGTCTCAGTATCCCTTAAGGAATAAATATGTAGGTGATTTTGTAAACGGGGATCGTCACGGACATGGGAGGTTCATATATGCCAGTGGAGCAGTGTATGATGGAGAATGGGTTTGCAATAAGAAGCATGGCAAGGTGAGTATTGACAAATAGTGAAAGAACATTAAATACAACACAAGAAGAGACTTTATTCTGCTCTATGTAGTACATCCCTAGATTTCCATACTGAAAACTACATCCAATTTGCATTGTGGATGGAATCCAAGCATAAAGTACGGATTCCACTGAAAGCAGTAGGACTCCTTCGAAGGACCTTGCTGGGCAACAGATTTGACTCAGTGGGTTAGGGTTGGGTGTGTAAATGGAAATGTATTTTACAGTGGAGTTTCAATGCAGTAGGTGCGACTTGATTTTTTTCAACTGTTGGTCAGTACTTTTCACTGTATATTATCATATGAGCTAATGGATTTCAATCTATCCTCACACAGAGATGTACTCACATTAACGGACGTTTTTTAACGCTGTGCCCCCAGGGTTTTTTTTAAGTGTTAGGAGAGACTGTGGACTATATGAGGGAAGAATGTTTATTTCTCAATTTCTGTTTCAAAACAAAAACAAGATATTTCTAAATTTTTCATCTCAGCAAGGTATTTTAATTAACAAGGGACAAAGTACAGTGTAAAAGAGGGTAAGGCAAATTCTTTGCTTTGTGTTATCTCATATATTGCATTTTAATGAGATTTTTGCCAGGAAATTTAATTGAGAACATTAGAGTTGTTTTTACTGATCTTTCATTAAATGGGAAAATTTGTATTGAACTTAATCAAATGAGTCTGTCTGTAGGGCAAGTTTGTCTTTACGAATGGGCATGTTTATGAAGGAGAGTTTATAGATGATCATATAGCGGAATATCCTGCTTTTCAAGTGGATGCATTGAAGGTACAAGGTCTGAATGCCGTTTGCACACAAAGTCCTTTTGGCACCGGTAAGCAGCTTAAGAAAGCAACAAATTCTACTTCACATTTGTTAGTCATTACTTTGTTAGTTATTACTTTTTTTTTTAAATACTGTCAAGCTGTTCATACTTATTCAAGAGCCAGACATTTCTTCAAAGAACTTTGAGAAGGAAGAGTTATTTTTATAATTAATGTTACTTCTTGTTTCTCGTCCACAACACTTGGAGTTGAGTGACACGTTCATAACACATCTTGTTATGGTTTTGGAACACTGTAGCCTGGAAGTTTCATAAATATCAGCATTTGCGATATCAGCATTTTCTTTTTGTTAGTAGTTAGATTTGCCTAAATGGCTCTTTAATGGTTATGCTGTTGATTATTAAATATCTACTTGAAAGACCTTAAAAGAGTCTGTTATTCTCTCTTTGAAGTCAATAAGATAAGAAGGAATGATATGCTTTATTTTGCTTGTATATTTTTGAAATTTTGAAAATTTACTTTTGTTTTGTTTTTATTTTTCTTACTTGTTAGAAACCATCAGAATAGTCGATGGCTCAAGAAATACTTCTCTTTTGGGACCAAATATTGAGTTAGATATATCTTCACTGCTTGACTTCTTCCCAAAGGAAGAGAGACAAGAAGAAATTAAACAAGTAAGAGCCTATTGTCAGTTTTCTTCCACTGCTGTGCTTCACATAACTGTAATTTCTGATTTGTGTGTATAAAGTAAGTCTTTACATTCGAGAATTATCCAACATCTAAAGACAATGAAAACAGGAAAGCAAAAAGAATGAAAAGACGGTATTGTGTATTCCTGAGCATCCACTAGAAGGGAATAAAAAATATATTTATCTATCTGGAAGGGCACTCGTCATCAGCTTTTAGTTACTGTGAGGTCTGGACGGGGTCTCCACTGATGCATTCCATATGCTGAGTCCAGTGTTCCTGGGTGAAAAGGTTTGAAATTAAAACCTTTAGGTGACTTTGTCTTTTATTAGTACAAGGGACAGTGATTCCTGTTGGATGTTTTCTGTTCAAGAATTACACAAAATTTTCCATTTAGCTACATAAATACTGCTACTGCGCTGTATCGTGCAAGTTGCTTCTCACTCCTCTGGTATCTTTTACCTACCTTGTACAGCAATTTATATGCTTTTTACTGGGACTGGCAAAGGGTTTATTGTTAACGGGGCTGATGTGTTAATTTGCTGGCAAGCAAACAGTATGTTTGATGACTGCAGTTTGTAACTACATTTGAGTAATGTATCACGAAAACTTAACCAGGAGCGTGCTCTTGGAAGTTGTAAGATAAAAAGTATTATGCCTCATTATGGGATTGGTACATGCTGATCCCTACTTGCCATGAGACTATACTGAGAACTTAACACTGCTTTGTTTAGATAGAATTTGCTGTGTTGAGACATATGACGGAACTGAGAAGAATTTACAGCTTCTATAGCAGCTTAGGCTGTGATCATTCCCTTGACAACACCTTCCTGATGACTAAGCTCCAATTTTGGAGATTTCTGAAGGACTGTCGGTTTCATCACTGCAACTTAACTCTTGCTGAAATGGACCGGATATTGAGCGGTTTGTATTTCCGTTGACTAGGGACTAGAATTTAGGAATTTTAATAGTAAGCTGTGGGGAGCTAGAGAGGCGAGTTCTACTGATAGCTCAACCCTGAGCTCAGTGGGCCTGAGCGTGTCCCTCTGTGCCCTTGCATTCTTGCTGGATGTATTAGCACTTACCCAGGAACTTTGGGACCTTAGGTGAGAAAATGCAAAACAAAAATACACTCCAAAATTGCCATTACTTTTACTTGTAATGTTTACAGAGTCTGAGAAAGAGAAGTCGAAGAAAAAAATCTTTGTATTTTTTTCAGTGTTCTCGGGAGTTTTGGGTTTGTTTGTTTTTCTTCTTTAGAGCCAATAAATGAGTCAGTTCCATTTAGAGCTGCTGTGGGCCTTTATCATAAAGATGTACTTCAGTGTCCCTAGTATATGAAGGGATTAATTTCCGCTTCACTTCCCCTTTGATTCCCATGTGCTATGAGGGTGCGTTTCCAGAAAGAGAACTTAAGATTCAGTTTTAGCTGGGCCATACTGCCTTGCCCTGCTCATTTGGAAGTGATGCTGTGTCTGATCTGATTCTTCCAGGAGTGTTGTAACACTGTGGTAGGTAGAGAGTGGGAGGATAAGAGAGTCTTACGGGCCAGTGCCAGTACAAGCGTTTTAATATAAATGATAGCAATAGAGATTATTTTTTCTTGGGGTTTTTTTTTTTTTAGGTGATAAAACACCACTTGAAGAGATACATTCTCCATATGAGACCTTACTGTTCAGAACATTTTTATCTTGCCTTATTCATCTAGCATTTCATATCTATCATGAGGAGCACAAGTAAGTTTCATCTTCTAGTGAAATTAATTTGTGTAATCAGTTGGTTTCTGTCAGGGCACCCTCTCTTTTTATTCTCCTTTGCCCAAGGCATCTGCTTGCCCTTGCACTCTTGCTTGTCCATTCCCTTTTCTGTTGTCCGTGCTGATACTATGCAAAATAGAGTCCCAGTGATAAGGGACTCAAGGGTTCAAGGGTTTCATTCTGCACCTGTATTTGGTACGAGTGTTTCTTTTGCAGGAAACCATGCTGTCAGTATATTAGTGCTTTTGGAGATGTGTCTATGGGTTTCTAATATGTAACTATATATATATATATTTTTTTTTATTACTCTGTATAAATTGTAGCAGATAACTATTAAGAGAACAGTAGACTCTAGAAATTCATGCGGACTCTTGATCCTACTACATGGAGGTGTTTTTGAAAATTCTACTTCATGCCTTTCACATGAATTGTGTAATATCTTTCATACTGAGCTTACTTAAACGTGAATCTTCTCTCCTTGATTCCGTGTAAGAGGGTAGTAATACAAGCTGGTCTTGGGAAGGACTCTTTGCAAGAGAGTCCTAAATTTCACTGAAGAGTTCTTCTGAGAAAAATCTTGTAAAATTTTGACAGGATAAATGTACTTGTGAAGTGTACTTGTAAACATAACTTTATTTGTACTTCTTGTGCATAAGAAAAGAGTGTGTATTTTTATTTCAACTGCAGAGAAAAAGGTCCTTACCTGCATAAGTGTTTCTTAGAAATGATGTCCAGGAATGTTATTCCAACTGCAGGTCATGTACAGGGTAAGTAATGATGTTTCTTCTGTGCCGTTCAGAATTCATCAGTTAGTAAAGTACATCGGAGTTTTAGTGTAATTGTTATTTTTTCTCAATTAATTTTTACAGGTATTTTATTTTCCGAACGTGCTGTTTGTGCCATGAGCTACATTGGCAAATGCTGGGAAATATACAGAGCTTTTTGTAGACCGAGTACCAAGCCTCCATTTGAACCCACAATGAAAATGAGGCATTTCCTTTGGATGTTGAACGTAATTATCTACACTCTTTTAAATTTTTGATCTGGCTAAATGCATGTTTGTTCAGTTTATATGGGCATTTTAAAATTCTTCCTGTAGCTCCTATGCAGTTATAAAGGTATGGGTAATGTTATTTGTATGAGCTGTCCAACAGATGTTAAAGGGACGCTTATTGTGGTGAATGATGGTCCTTTTCAGGACCACATTCTGATTTCTTATTTGAAATCAGTCTTAGACAAGTACTTTTTTTTTTTTTTTAAGTGAATATAAGTATTTTTGCTGGTGATTTTTCCCCCCCATAAAATTTATGCACTAGAATGTCATATTAGTAGAACTCAAGATTGGCAGCTCTTGAAATAACAAAATAAAGCATTTTAATAATTTATTCATTGAAAGTATTTATTGCATTATGGACATGAGATTCTCTTCTAAAACTCAACCATTCAGGGACTGATCCAGATTACAGTGAAGTCAGCAAATGACTCCCATTGGTATGATTGTGTTTTGGGGCAGGCTTTCACTGATGAAATCCAAGCCTATGTAGGCTGCTGGAAATGTGATACCTCATTGGCAGGCCTCTTCGAAATAAATGCCTTTTGATTCAGTCATCTTTTTTTTTTCTGAAAAAGATTTTAAAAAAATCAGATGGCAAAACTGTGATATTTTATATTTTTATTTATTAGCTTTCACAAGCTCTTGCTTAGCACTGTTTTTGTCATCTAGGAAGAATTCCCATTGATTTTGGTAAGGCCAGGATTTCACTCTGTCATTAATTATGTGCTGGAGGTGTCACTTGAAACTGCTAGAAATTTTCACGCAGGCTTTAAAGGGAGTTAGATTAGTTCCATGTGGGAATGCTTAAGTGTTGTTAACGTGTAACATTTAATCTTACACAGGATTTCAAGCTTCTAAGCAAACAATTAACTGCTCCAAGGCTTGTGGAAATACTTATCAAAGACCGTCCCTTTCTATGTGATGGCAATAACAGCAACCTGGAGCAGGAGGTACGTATGGAAAAAAGCACATAATAGTTCATTGCTACAGGAGCAACTAAAATTAATTTTAGAAAATGCTACAAACACTGACCTATGTACCAAAACAGGAAAAGAATGTAATTTATTATTAAAAAAAAAAAAAAACAGAGCACAAGCTTTAAGGCTCTGTTTTTAGCTTCCTTTGCTCTGCCTCGTTTATCTTCCATGCTTCCATGTTTTGCTAGCTATCTTGCCCATCTAGTACACTGTCAGCAAGCATGCCTGTGCACTGAACGTACAGATAGATACGCCTCAACACTACTGTGACAAACAGGGTGAAATTCCATCTCTGTGAGACTGCTGCTAGTAATAGTTTTGGTTTTGTGGGGCAAATGCAGTGGCTATACAGGGATGAGTCTCAGTACTCCCAACTACCGAGGCATGTGTAGGAGATGTTAAGATGGGTCAGCAGTGAAGGTGTGAGCCCACTGATTCTGGAAGCCTGATGATCTGTGAAACCTGAGGATGCAGCACTTCCCATGCCACTCATCAATGTATGGGGTAAAATAGTGACTGTAGAAGATTCTTGAGCTGCCTGACAGCTGACCTGCTATAGAGGGCCTTCACCCTTAAAGAATTAGCTCTTATCCAGTGATAATCTACTGTAAATGATATGATTGAATGTTTTTTTTAATCGATATCTGCTGAACTGAACGCACAGTATAAATATTACTAAAGGATTAATTGTACACACTTTGTTGGGGTTTCTTGGGGGTGTATTTTAGATAATAACAAGAACTTAAATTTATCAGAGAGAAAAATTTCTTGTAATTCCAGGTGCAGTGAAAATCCATGCAGTGTTTTATTTTAATTTGACTTGTGTAAGGCATAACACAGAATATTACCTGCTGATTTTTTTCAGCTTTAGCCATTTATAAGTTTCCTTCAGAAAAAAAGGATGTTTGAGAAGATACGGTGATGCCAGTGAGGCTCAATAAGCAGTTTTGAATTCTTTACTTGCTCAGATGTGTCCACAATAAAGAGATTTTATAAAAATGAATTAATTGATGACTATGTTTGTTTTACTCCAGTTGGTTTTTCTTGAATTTGTTGAAGCTCTTCTGGATTGCGCACTGGTGTATGTTACCAGTGATGTGATGAAGCAGCAAGTAGATTGTTATAGTCAGAAAGGAAGTAGCTTTAGAATTGAAGATCTCTCCAAGGGAACTGCAACTGTGACTCAGTACCCAGAATATTCTTTGTCCCAGGTAAAGTTGGTGTGGACCTCATAAGCATCCTTATTACATGTCCACTTCCAGAGCAAAGCCAGAGAGACATAGAAACTGAATTCCTCTTTTCATATAAGTAGTTATTTGATTGGATCCTCCTCCTGTTTTTTGTTCATTGTTACTTTAGACTGTAACATCACTGTAGACAGTCTTAATACAGTTGCACATTTTCCTAGGTAATTATAAATAGACATAATGTATTTGGAAGCCTTCTGGTGTTCCAGAGGGAACTGACAAACGGGTAGACTGGTGGAAGGTGTGCCTCTCTTGCTTAAAGTTGAATCTGTAAAATTGCCCTGTAAAAATGGCATTGCAAGTGCTGTATGTGACAAGACTTGCTCGTTTCCCACAGGGCAGCTGAAGGTATGATTTAGTCCGTAGAATTTCTGTTACTGGGAATTATGCACAAGTTGAAAGTATTTTTATTAATTTGCGGAGCATTCCCAAACACCTAATTTCACAGTCACTGTAAGCTAGCACTGCCACTGAATCCTACCTTCTCCCATTCTCTGGCTACTTAGTCCCATCCTATAGGACCCATTCCCATGTGTCATTACTAGCATTTATGTAGTTCCACAGTGACCCGATCCAGTTAAATTAGCAGTGTTTTCTGAGGCTAATTTAAAATCATCATTCGAAGTGCATTCAACATACATATAACTTTCTCTCATGTTTTTTTTTCATTAGTCCATTTACAACGGAAGTGTGATTAGTACAGACATAAATGATGACATTTCCGAGGCAGCTGAGCTCTACAGTTGCCCATGGTCGTCTTCAAGCATAAGTGTGCTATCAAAAGACAAAATAAAGGCACATGAGGTACGTAAAAAGCTTGTATTGAAAGCGGAGTAGGGGTTTTGCTATTCATGCGTGACAGAGAAGGCAACGTATTTTGAAGTTTTAAAAGGGACTAGAATTTCAGCTGTTATTAACTGCGGTGTGTTTCTGTGCCTGGATGTGTTTGTGAACCTAAAAAAATTATGCATTTCCATTGCTAACAAAGCATTTGTTCCCATGCATACCTTCTGCTATTTTTATTTAGGCTATTAGGTGGTATTCTATATAATAATAACACAAGCAGAAGGCAGTGATGAACAAAACTACAGATTTAAGTTTATTGGCAAGGTAAGGAGTGAGCGGATGAAAACTGTGCAAAAAGATTTGGTAGCACTGGAGAAGGTAATCCTAATATTACATTTTTTTTAATATGTAAAAGCATGCATCATACTTTGAGTATGTTCAGCTTGCTGAAAATGAGGCTTCTTCTAGCTCAGCATATTTGTAACTTGTCTGCTTAATTTCTAGAATAATCTTCTACTCATTTTTTTTTTTTCCTTCCTGATAGAATTAGAGTGAAGACAGGGGCATAAAAGCCAGCTGAAATATATGTTTTCACACAGAAGGAATTCCTAGAAACATATTCCAAAATTAGAGGCAGGTTCTTCTTCCAGCAAACTTTTAAATTTCACTGCCTTTACAGTTTCATACCCAGTAAGGTTATATTCTTTCAAACCTGGGCAGAATCGGATGGTGAACTATGATTGTCATAAGATTCTTGATAGTCCAAGAACAAAAATGTTCTGTTTTATCTCTATGATTCCAGGGTAAGACAATAAGGATAAGATTACTATTTTATCTTGGAATCCCAGAAATCAAACAGAGAATTTAGAAACTTTCTGGCATTTTGAAAATGTGCTGACATATTTGACCTGCTTTGTTGAGCGACTTGCTATCACTTAGCGGAAAAGAGCGATATCATCAGGCTGCAGAAAATGCTTGGGAAGAAAGTCAAAAAAAAATTTGGAAAGGTTCCTTCTCAGATGTACTATTGCTGCTCTCCTTTTCACTGGATATAATTCGTGGAGTATATTCCTACACTCAGGAAGAGAAATTCATTATTATTTCCTCAGGCATAGATAACTAATGGTTTCGAGCAGAGGAACACATAAGAACAGAGGGACATGTCTAAGAACAGGACCTTTAATTTCTCTGGACTTCCTCTTGCTCTGAAATAGGATAATCCTACTTCCCTGGCTTGTGTCGGAGGGAAAGTGCTCAAATTTTGAAAGTGAGAAACACTATTGTAAATTAAACGTTTTGAAATAGGTATAATTGCAGAATGTGCTTGCTTGGCAGCTTCCTGTCTTTCAGTGCAGTAGCTGGTACTATTCCAGAATGCTCTGTGGATAGAAGTTTGAATGACTCAAACAGACAATGTAATTTCAGTTTCTAATTTGAACACAAGCTCAGGTATTTTATAACCTGATTCAAAACTTCTTGCCAGTCACTGATACCGTGTGAAGACAGAGGGCTTTCTCTTCAAGAATTTCATACGGGTGAGTATTGGAGTTCATTCTATAGCATCTATAAGCAGTGGTGCTAGAGGAGACTCACTCTTGCTACAGCTTTAAAGATAATTTAAAAGGTCGATCATCATTGGAACAGTTGTACATGCATGGAGGGAAGCAGCATTCTGTTTTGCAGTTATGGCAAGGTTTAACTCTTTACAGTAATGTTCAGTTTCACACACCTGGAATATTTGGTGAGCTGGCCGAGTTTGAATCTCTGAACTTGTGCTGTGAGGATTTCAGAATTGTTCCTTCCTGTTGAGATCATGTATTTGAATATAGTGTAGGTGCTTTTTATTAGCTTTTTAGACCTAGGACTTAATTATGTGAACACTCACAGGTGGTTGGTTGCTCTTCCTGCCTCAGGCGCTGACTCAATGTGTTTGTCTAGTCTAAGTTAACTCTCCATCACTCTGCTTTCATCTTCTAGACAGCATCTTTGGATTCTGTGCTTCTGTTATGGGCATGTGAGCACAGAAGGAGGAAACCTGAACAGATGAGGGGAGGTGTCATGATGGGTTGTTAGGAGCAATGGCCGTGCGCTGGCTTAGCTGGAGCTGAGCAACGGCTGTTGACTGTGAGGTGTGGTGTGGTGAGACTGTTCAAGGGAATTCTTAGGTTTTACAGGGAAAATCCCCTCTGCGGTTTGCTTGCTATGACTTGCAACACTAAAATTCCCGCTCTTCACTATGTCACTCCTCCAGGCAACGGAAGGGTTTTATTCTTATTTCCCACATTTTCCTATTTCTATTACTGACATGCTTAAGTGCCTTCCATCTCATTGCTAAATATCAAGAAAATGGGCAGCTAATGATAATATAATAATGGTACTGTTTATATATAAAAAAATAGCAACAAACTGCATTCACTCTCAGCTAGCTGCCCTCATGAGCTCCTCTTCTTTCACTTCCATCAAAAAGTTACCTGTAATATTCAGAACCAATCCCACTAAACCACACTTGCACAGGTATCACATCATTAATGTTCATAAGGAATAACAATGCTAGAATCTTACAGTAATAGTTAGGGCTCACATGAATAGTATTGTATTGACCAGTGACTGTGTTTGAAGGCTGGATGTACATAGTGAAGGTGTTTGTTAGTTTGAAGGAGGAGAGTCAGGAGATAAGATGGTACATAGTGCAAATATGTCAAACCTGGTCCAGCAGCAGAAGCAACTCAACTGTGTTACGCAATTCTACTCCAAAGCTAACAAGCCTTGCTGAGCTGTCAGAAGGGTTAATAAAATACATGCACTGAGAACAAGTCTGGATTTTAATAGGCATAATTAGTATTTTTACTTATTTTCTTATTTACTTACATTTTCTTATTTACTTATTTTGAACACCTTCAGGCTGAATTATTTTGGTCTGTATGGAGCTTTATAAAGAAGTTTTGGGAGCAAAAACATGCATAGATTTAATGAAAACTGGATGCGTATTATTTCAGAGTTTACATCACTGTTTGATTATACTAAATATAGATGTATTTGCTGGGTCTTTTGCAATAACACCTTTGGATATTTTCCCAGTATTCTTGTATGACAGCTAAAGATCCTCAAAAAATCCTCCCAGTTGCGACTGTACAGATGCTTTGTGTACCATTCCAAGGTGTGCATCATGAAGGAGAATATTTGTGCTTATAAATTGCATCAATAAGCTCATTTAAAGCTACAGGCTATAGAACACTTTCTTAAAAATAACTCAAAGTTTTTTTCAAAATAAATTCTTTCTGCTCTGTTGCACTTATTTTGGCATAGAAACAGGAAGTTGAACTCAGCACTGTTTCTTCATTATAATCAATCGTTTCAGCTTTTGACGCTGTCTCCCATCACATCCTCCTAGGTAAGCTCAGGAAGTGTGGGCTAGATGAGTGGACGGTGAGGTGGATTGAGAACTGGCTGGATGGCCGAGCGCAGAGGGTTGTGGTGAATGGCGCAGAGTCTAGTTGGAGGCCTGTGGCTAGTGGTGTCCCCCAGGGCTCAGTCCTGGGTCCAGTCTTGTTCAATGTATTCATCGATGACCTGGAGGAAGGGACAGAGGGCACCCTCAGCAAGTTTGCTGATGAGACTAAACTGGGGGGAGTGGCTGATACCCCAGAAGGCTGTGCTGCCATTCCGAGGGACCTGGACAGGCTGGAGAGGTGGGCGGAGAGGAACCTCATGAAATTCAACAAAGGCAAGTGCAAGGTCCTGCACCTAGGGAGAAATAATCCCATGCACCAGGACAGGCTGGGGGTTGACCTACTGGAAAGCAGCTCTGGAGAGAAGGACCTGGGAGTGCTGGTGGACAACAAGTTAAACATGAGCCAGCAGTGTGCCCTTGTGGCCAAGAAGGCCAACGGTCTCCTGGGGTGCATTAGGCAGAGTGTTGCCAGCAGGTGGAGGGAGGTGATCCTGCCCCTCTCCTCAGCCCTGGGGAGGCCTCACCTGGAGTACTGTGTCCAGTTCTGGGCTCCCCAGTACAAGAGAGACATGGCACTCCTGGAGAGAGTCCAGCGGAGGGCTACCAAGATGATTAGAGGGCTGGAGCACCTCTCCTATGAAGAAAGACTGCAAGAGCTGGGCCTGTTCAGCCTGGAGAAGAGAAGATTGAGAGGCGATCTCATCAACGTGTACAAGTATCTGAAGGGGGAGTGTCAAGAGGATGAGGCCAGCCTCTTCTCCGTGGTGCCCAGCAACAGGACAACAAGAGGCAATGGGCAGAAACTGAACCAGCAGTTCAGTTCCTTTCTCAGGAAGTTCCACCTGAACCTGAGAAAAAACTTCTTCACTGTGAGGGTGACAGAGCATTGGAACAGGTTGCCCAGAGGGGTGGTGGAGTCTCCTTCGCTGGAGATATTCAAAACCCGCCTGGATGCGATCCTGGGCAATATGCTCTAGAGGTCCCTGCTTGAGCAGGGAGGTTGGCCTAGATGATCTCCAGAGGTCCCTTCCAACCTAAACGATTCTGTGATTCTGTGATCAGTACAAAACTATTTCAAGCACAGGTCTACCTGATATGTCATGACAATTTATATTTTTTTATGCTGAAGACCAAAACTGATGTTTAATGCACAGAATTACAGATAGATAAAAAGTCATTTTAATTTTCTTTCTTTGCAGTATCAGATACTGTCCTCTTACTCCACACAGCACATGCAGATGTCAAAGATACTCAGTCATTGTTCAGCTGGGATACGGAAAAAGGACAAAGTTTGTGCCCAGCAAAGGAATTGGCAGGTAAAGCGGTCCTACTGCTTTTAAAAAAATGACTTGTTAGCTTTTGATTTGTAACTAACTAACTGTGAAATTTTAATCGTACACGCAGATTTCAGCTTGTCACAAGAGGGCAGTAAATGAACATTAATTCTAGAGGAAATTTTTTTAAAGAAAATGAAACTTAATAATTAATTTTAATACTTTTTCCTTTGAATTTTCTACAATTTAAAAAAATGCCACTTTCTATTTGTAGGGCATCTATACACTTTCATTTGTGTTTACTCTAAGGGAAGATGAATCTGCAAGCCTATTTTTCTTTTCTTTTTGTTTTTTCCCAATATCTCTTGGCCAAAGGAAAGATATTACCGCTCTCCCTTGCTACTTTTACTTAGGGTAAGAATTATTATTAATTGTGTATTCAGGAGAGAGCTATCGCCATTAGCTGAGACAGAATATTTTGCCTTATGACAGACCTGCATTCATGCAGAAAAGAAATCAGTAAGAGTATTTTTCATATGTAGAGGGTAGTAACCTTCATGCTATTCTCATCTTTTTATACCATTTTCCTTCTGGCTGATTAGCCAGTCTCATCTCTAATACTCTTTGTGCTTGTTAATGTTTCTATGACTAAAGAACCGTAGTCCAAGAACGTAAGAAGCCAATGTGTTCTTTGTGCGGTCATCAGCTCTCTCACTGGAATCTGATGACTGAAAAGCTACAGAGCAGAAAACATCATTGTCTCTTAAACAACCAGCAGATGGGCCTCAGCGGATTTGCTGTGGAAAACATCGCACGCGATAATTTTTTGAAAGTCACACATGCTTGCATGCAGTTCAGTTGTTTCACATAGTCATGTTCCCCCTGTACAGGAGTCCTAGATGCTGAACTGTTATCAGATGACTGTGAAATGAAGATATTTATGATAGGATTAAAGGGGAAGGCTTATGTTCTTCTGGTGCCATGCCCAGAGAGCAGTAGCTTTGAAGAACCACAAAAAGGCCTTCCCCTTTCGCTCACATCAGTTAAAAATTTCTCACGTCGGGCATATTCCATACCACGCAGAAGCAAGTGTGCATCACCCACAGATACGGAGGGGCTGGCAACACATCATAGCCAGTGCAGCCAGACTTTTTAATAGCAGAGTATCAAATCTGAACTATCATAGCCCAAGAAGAGTTTAAAATAGAAATACCTTGTTAAATAAACTGTGTAATTCTCATGCTACAGAAAAACTAGAAGAGGAAAAAAATGAACAAATTGAGGAACTTGGTCTGCAGTCTTGTCAGGTGCAAATCTTTTTTACGAGCAAGTTCTTTCCTGCCTACCAGCATGAACAAGTGCTGAAGGGAAAAATAAAAGAAAATCAAATTCGGGATGCTGAAATAGCTGAGCTGAGGAAACTAAAGGATGAGGAGCTGGCAAAGTGAGTACTTTATCTTGAAGAGATGGCTTTTCTAATAACAAAATTATTGTAATCTGCCTTAATGAAAGTAGTATAGCATACCATAACTGACACAAATCATCCAGAGATAATAAGCAACATCCAGAAGGTAATTAATGTATGACTGCTTATAAAACAACAAGGTAAGAAGATAGTTTCTCTTCATTTGTCATAAGGGGTAATGAATACAGGAAGCCTTCAGACTACAGAACTATCTTACAGCTCTCTGAGTGTATTTATTTCCTGGCACTTGAATCCTGCTCTGTATGAAGCAAGTTCAGCTGAAGATATTTTTGCATAGTCCAAGTCTGACTTAAAGTGGTAATGAGAAAGACTGTCTGCTTCTCTGAAGTAAAATATTTCATCCTATTCATACTGCACACACACATTTGGTTGCTTAGCTGGTAGAAGTCTTTGTATGCACTTTAGTATGGGAGACTTAATGAATTTAAGCTTTGTCTGCTTAGACTTGCTGCTGGAAGAGAAGCAGAAGAGGCAAAAAGACAACAAGTTGCAGTAGAAAAAGCATCATCTGAGCTCAAGAATGCAATAGTTCAGGAGTCAGAGTCTGTTGCACAGTTAGTACCTCCTCCAAAGGAAGAGGCATCCATTGTACTACCTCCAGTTGTTACCAAGGTGGGTGCAGGGACAAAGAAAAAGAAGAAGTAAATCTTCTAATGAGGACTGTGGAAACTTCAAGTATGTAAGTGTTTTTTGAAGCAAAAAACCCCACTTCCAGTAGGGTCTAAAGCACAAGTGTTATAAAAGCTATTTGCATGAGATTTGCTGATTTCAGGCTGAAGCTTAACTCCATGGCCAGCTGTCTCCCCTTAAACCAAGGGAAGGAGAGTATGTAATCAGCTGCATATGAGTATAACTCTTTACATAAATAAACAAAGCTATTCCAGAAGCGAGTATTGACTCTGTTTGCTAGAAATGCCCTCATTGTCACATTGAGGCAGAACTGACATCCCATCTCAAAGCTGTATGTCTCCTGTAAATAGTTTCTGCTTAAAACAGGGTCTATATAATTGAAATACTGCATAAGCAAATACTTTTTGTGGTCAGGGAGGGATTACTTTTATGCAAGCATTTGACAACAAAAAAGCAAAACACGTTGAAGCAAGACCTTCTAAGAACAGATGAAGCTAGAACACATGAAATTTAGAATTAATTGGGCATTAGTACTAGTTGCAAAAGACCTCTGACTTGTAATGGTAAAAAATTAGTAAAAGTCACAGTACGATACAAATGAATACAGGGAAACAAAAAGATGCCCTTAAAAGTGTAACAATTAGTTTTATTTTCCAGTAAAATATCCACATAATAATATCAGAATGGAATGGTACAGATGAATTCAGACTGGTTTTAATTAGTTTGCAGATAAACATTTTTAAAATCTAAAAATTTTATGATCAGTTTACAGATTTTAGTAGAAATTTGATTCTTACAAAGCAAGTATTGCTTTACTATTGTCATTATTCCAGTCAATAATATGACTAATAACTTTTCACGTTGAAGTGTCTGATGTTGACATCTTTAATAAATCAGCCCTTTGCAGATCAATCCAAGAAGAAAATATTATTAAACTGTGTTGCACAAAGTTTCTTCACTTCTTCTGTTTAAAAACAAAAACAAACAAAAAAAAAGAGTCAGTACACCATTTTACAAGAGCCTATGTAAGAAAAGCTCGGGGGATTATCAAGGAGAATACAATTAAATTTAAAGAGAAAAAAAACCCAAGAGTTCCAGGGTAGAAAAATACACCTATCAATTCCATTGTTTTCAGTAAGAGAAAGCTCAGTTAAGTCTGAAGTTTCAGACTGTTTGAAAACTGAGTTGTATTCTAAGTGGCTGAAGCATAAATGGTGACTTCATTTTGCTGCTGGGCCTTTCATCTTGTCAAACATTTACACTGCAACAGCAGAAAAGCTAGTTTTCACATAAGGAAGTATATTTTATCCTGTCTTCAGGAGAGGGAAGTATTGGAGGGATTACTGTAGCCTGTTAAAACTGATCGCAAGAGATTCTGCTTTGTGCTACTCGGCAGGTGATACTTCAGGAGTAGCAGTACTTCCTAAGTTTATCAGGTACAGAAATACTCATTTACTATTTCTATATAGCAGGTTTGATCCTGAGAGACAATTAGCAGTCATTAAACAAGTCAGCTCACCAGATCCTCTTTCCAAAATTTAGGATACTAGGCTTTCTTAGAAGGATATTAATAAACTCTTTTCTCATCCTCCAAGTGAGAGCATAGGCTTCTATTAAAACAATGAACCTCCAACACTACTGCAAATAAAATAACACCCAAACTGTCATTTATCTTGAAAATCAGTCTGTTTAAAAGCTTTTTGCATCTTAATGTTCATTTGCAGTTTTAGTCAGAATGAGTTAATCTTAAAACAGCCTTAGTGAAAGACAACAGTGGAATGAGGATTGCTAGCAGGAGAAGGACATTATGTACAAATAACCCACCCATGGATCACTGACAAAAACAAACAAGAAAAACACACACAAAAACACACCCCAAACCTTAAGTCAGATGTAAATATACTTATCTCTCACCTGTAATACACTTCATTAATTACTCCTAAACTAAACTCACAGAGCACTCTATTATTTCAAGGAGGAAGAGTGACTGATTAATAATTAAGAATGTCCACTAAATATTTATGCTGTTCTTTCATAACAGCTAGAAGACTAAAACCTTATGCAAACTTACCTGGTCTGTTATATAGATCAATCCCTCTCTAAATTTCTCATGAGATGGATTTTATTACTTCTCCAGGGAAATGTATTTTAGTAGTAACTGTATTTAAAGGATAATAAAGGACAATCCTTACCATTAACTTCAATCAGATTTGCATTTTTTTGATTCAAAATAACATACAGTTCTCTCTGGTCAGACTTTTTCCCAACTACCCAATAATCACTCATTGCCTTCACAATAATTTCCTCATCTTCATCAACTCTGAAAGAAGTTTCAGAAAGTATGTGTTAAGAACAGTATCTCAAGAAGATGGCAGCAAGTTGGTCTTTAACAAATTTAAATTCTCTGAACGGCTATGAATAATCCAAAAGTGAACGGATGGCCTGATGTCATAAAGAACTGTGGTTGTGCCACACCAAATAGATACAAACAGAGTACTCAACTTGGATGTAGTTCAGCATAGCAGGATGAAGACTTTGTAATCTATTTGGAAGAACGGTATCACCAGATGAATAAATCATTAATTTGTCCACCAGCCAAACACTCCAGCATTCTGCAGAAAACCACCTATCCTCCTTAGAGTTAAGGAGGCATTTCACAGCGTTACCTTTTGCTACACAGTGACCAAATAACAGACACTGCAGAAGGTATGAAGATACTAAACTCTCACCTAATTGTTAAACCTAGAACTAAACTATGCTGAACAACTTGGTCTCTTGTATAAAGTTGTCACTAAGCCAGTATTTTTATATGATGAAATTTTTTTTTTTTTTATTTGAGAATTTAAACCTTATCCTTATACAGAGCAAGACGAAGCACTGGTTGCTCGTTACAGACACCACAGTAATTCAGCATTTACCTGTTCTTTAAGAATTTCTGTAGTGATAGAGGGTCTTCCCCATCTTGAAATAGATAGCAGGATACCATTTACAATAAGCCAGTTATCTTCTCAATCAGCAGTGCTATAGTAACTGCAAGGTTATATTTCAAGTATTGTCCAATCCCAGAAAGCAGCCAGGTATTTCAGAGGAGGATATAATAATCCCATCATAGGCAGAAGCAGGTTCCCCTGCCTCCCTATCTCAGAGTATTACTTATTCTGAGATAAGACAATGACTTAATTGCAAAAGCACTAGGCTTCAGGTCCCTTCTAAGTAACTCTGAAAGTTCAAACAAATAAAATATTTTCATGGCTATCAAGGCCCTAGCCCAGTATTTTTAGAAAAGTTTTAGTTGGATAGGACGGACTGTTCTTCTAAGCAACACAAAATACTAAATATGACCTACGTTACACGATGCGTCTTACAAGGCTGTGAACAGCCTTCAGCAAGCAAACAAAAAAAGACATGGAAGACTTTGGTCATCTGAAAAAAAGTTATTGACAGATGGAGTTACAGGCTATTTAATAGTTAAGCATTACCTGGAGAAGTCACTGTTGATGTCACCGAGAATCTTCATGAGGTCAGGGTGGACAGATGCAAGTGATACACTGGGCGTCTTCCTCATGTGAATTGTACTCTTCTCTGCTAAGTTCATGTGATTGAAATAGATAAACTTAAACTGAGGCTCCTTCTCAGCCCTTGAAAGATTCAAAGGAGAAGAAAAGAAAAAAAAAGTGACTTGCAACCTCAGATATCCTGAGATTACCCTCACATGGAAGAGACCAAGTGCCCTAAGACTTGTGGCATGATCAGATTTCATTTTAATAATAAAAATAAATTAAAGAAGAAAAAAACAAGCCTTCAAACCAACCAGTTTTCCCCCCCTCTGTTGCTTAGGCTCCTAGTAAATAAAAAAAAAAGAAAGGGAAATTTAAGAGTCTTGTCCTATATTTCAGCAGCAGTTTGTTCATATCTTTCGAATGAGCTGTTTTGTCTGTGCCCTCCTTTTGTTTTATTGCTGCCTTCCCCTATCAGTCAAGTCCAGTCCTGGTCTGAATAGCTGGTGAGGCCTTAATGTGATCAGCGAGGAATCTTCCAATCACATCTTTGTTAACAGTCTAGACATGGAACTCCTCCTTGACCTAGGAAATAAGATTTTCTCCCATCGTTTTTGTGGGCCAAATATGATAACATTTCCAAACTTCTGCCACGCTCCTCCTGTACTTTCTCTTTTATTAAGGTAATATAAAATCTTTCATTTACAGCTGTAATGTTGGTGGAAGCCACAGAAAATTCAGATTGGCAAAAGCTGCCTATAGCGTTTGGTACTTCAGGCTACATATTATTTAGCATCAGGGAGATACTGTGATGACACTACTCACCTTAGCAAACAACTAGATACCCTTGCTCTCTGTCACCCAAATGCATTAGTGTCAAGAAACTGTATCGTGTTTTCAGGACACCATGGCATTAAACTTTAAAAGAGTTAAAGCAGCTAAAGCCAGTCTTATTAAGTCCCAGGTGACATTAAAAACAAGTTTAATGATTTAGTAGATTGGCACGATTTCAAGGGCATCCTGCTCTACACCCTGCAATGTCGCTGATTTGGGGTGCTACAGCTAAAGTCAGTAGAAGCTAAATTCGGTATCTTTAGCTTAATTCCTCTTTTGTTGTCATATGTAACTGCTGTTCTTGCTCCCCCAACTATCAAATACATTTAAACAAACAAACAAACAACAAGTTTTTATGGAGATTCTACTACAGTTCTAAGCGAAGTACATTTTCCAAAATGTTAACGTCATTTTCCATTTGACATTATATTTAACAGGACTAAGGTAATGACTGAAAAACCCGAAGTTTTTTTCCTCACCCATCATATACAGCAGCACTTCAGGAAGCAGTAATTTTGGATAAAAGTACTCAATTGTAAAGCTTGCATTGTAACTATGACCTAATCCACTCTCAGAAGTCCCCATTTCAAACTGCTTGACAAAAGTTGTTCTCAGAAGTCCCCATTTCAAACTGCTTGACAAAAGTTGTTCTAGTACGTAGAACTTCACTTTCTTTGTAACAGACAGACACGCATACACACACAGAACCCAACTTCAGCATCATGAATAAAACCTCGGATATTTGTCAGCCTGGCAGAGAGTATGGCAGAATATGAACGTTATGCAGCACAGAGTTTTGGCCCCAAACCGTTAGCAGCAAAGTTGTCTTTCCTGTGCTCCCATGACCCTTCTGTTGGGCTGATGTAGCAGACAAGAAAATTCATGATTTGTACAGTTGAGGGGAGAGGAAAAGGGGACAAAAGTTGAACCTGCAGGAAGAAAAAAACAAAACAAAAAAAAAGCCAAACCCCACCCACTCCACCTCTCAGAATAGGTAGAGAACTATGAAATAAAGCAAGACCAAGCAGATGAGAAAACTGGGGACTCTTCCCATTTCCCTCTCAGGACTCAGCGCTAGGAAGTGATAAGAAGAAAGGAGATCACAGGAATCTGGGCCCAAGGGAATATCTCATCGTTAACAAGCAAAGACTAGAACTTAAGTCATGTTGAAGCCACACTCTTTGCCCAACCAAGCTACCCTGAAGTAGACTACACTGGACCTTTCCAGGTCTCCCCCCAGGAGGAGTTGGGTTAATCAAAGCCCGCTCATCTGATCATAAGCTACATCTTACTTGTTTCAAAAGAAGCGCCAACGTGAGCAGCCCACACAGCCTGACATGCAAGAAGTACAGTACTTCTACAAATGAAAAATAAACAAGAAAATGGAGCTTCTGAAAGGCCAAACTAGATTCTAATTTCCTTGTTTCAGTCAAGGACTTACCTGAGAAGGCTTATGCCCAGGTTGTCTTACAGACATGTAGCGCAACTTGGTAACAGAGCTAAGAGTTACCTGCACTCTGTCCATGCTATGAGTGCTTGTGTCTAATGCAACATTCAAACAGAGCTGTCAGGCTCTACTTTATGCGAAAAGTAAAGTTTTCAGTTATTTTTCACATTATACAAGACAGCAGTCTTGGAAAGCAGACGTCAAAGGAAATCGGCAAAAGAATGGAGGTGTGCTACTGATGTTTTTAAAGACTCAAATGCACTAGCTGCCCAAAGGCTGTTTGTGAACATTATGAGATTCTGTTTTTCCTCAAGAAAAACGGAGAGCATAAGTTAAGATTTTGCAAGAACTACTAACTTCTGTACTTCAACACAGGGCAAAAAAACCCAGAAAACTACTTCAGTTACCGCATTTTTGCCAGCATGTAACTATTTGTGCAAATGCAGCAATCTGTGGAAGTGATAATTTTCAAGGATCAGGTAGTTTCAGCTCGCATATAAAAGCGGCAAAACCCAGAAGCTCCACCTGCTGCATCCAAGCACATGATCAATATGCATTTATAAATTAACAATATCTATGTTGTTACTTCAGGGAGACCTGAATATGCAACAACAGGCACTTTATAAATGCTTAAGAGAGAGAAAGGTAGATTAACACCATTTAAGATGCACAGTTAACTCAATACTTTCAACATTTGGGCTCATGTTACCATTATTTAAGCAGTTCATTAAAACTAATTTTTAACCAGCTGATGAAGGACTGCAATAGGAAAAGAAAGGCAGTACACACCCTGATATTCTCTTGTTGATGTTGTATTGTTCACATATGTCTGATGCTAACACGGTGAGTTGAGGCCCAACAATGCTGTCCAGTTTACGGCAAAACTCCAGTGTAGGTGGAATTGAAGCTACGTTGCAGTTAAAGAAGAGAGAGAGAGATGAGACGTGCCTCCAAAAGTAGAAGTTATTGTAGCTGCTTTCTTTAACCATCAGTGAGAGTCCTGGGACAATTTTCTCCCTTAATTATAGCCACAGAATTTGCACATCATCCTGAAGGTTAACTGAAGGAATATTTAGCCGTTTTTGCATGTGAATTGAATTACTTATACCACTGAAGCAGAATAGAAAAGGCTGCTAAAAGCATTCATGAAGAACAGGCTCAAATAAGAGATAAACCTGAGTATTTTCAAGAGTAAAACAAGTTGTAATTAATGGCATTTTGTATTAGCTCTGTCTTCCCAAAGAAGCGGTACCAACAGGTACTTACCGTCAATCATAAAGCAGACGGCTGCACTCATAGCCTGGAACAAAAAAGTTAAAGCAAAAAAAACATTTACAACAGGTTACCTGGACTACAAAAATACATAACGATACTTCAGTGAAGTCACACACAGACAAACCAATTAAGTTCAAAAATCTTGTTTAAAGCTAACACTTCAATAGGAAAATCTCTTTGCAATTCTACGCAACACAGGACAGTTAGGATTAAAAACCTTAACTGGGCTGAAGTTTGTTAAGTTGCAGGGGAAAGATGAAATTTGCTAGAAATGCAGGACATATGTATGCATTAAATTTGCATTTCATTAAAAAAATTGAATTCTTAGCTCCATTGATTAATGCGATACAAAGTCAGGAGTGAAACCACTTAAAGCAACTGAAGGCTGGTACTTTATTTTGATAAAACAAATTGTTTGCTTTGAAAAGCGTCCAGGAGCAGGGAGAATAGGATTTGGGTTTTAAAGCTGCTTGCCAGAAACTCCAGAGAGTTTTCCTTCTCGTTGCTCTCACTTGGTCCTATTGATGCATCTTTTTACTCAATTCACAAGTAATTCACAGCAGTGTCTTCTTCATGGTATAGACATTCCTAATACTAAGGAATAATCACAGAGAAAAGTGTAATACCTTATATACAATTAAATGAAGCTCTTCGTAACTGTCATCAGTGTTAACAAATATTTTGGGGAATCGGCATTTTGCTTCTGGATCATTAAGATTTAAAGGCCCAGTAAGAAACCTAGAAAACAATTCAATAGGTCAAACGTGATTAATTCTTATACTTCATTTTTTCCTGTTTAACAGATGTTCTTGAAACTAGTAATTACTTGCATGCATGAATATATTTGAACACAATGAGTTTTCAGCTATTCAGATAGGCATACAGCCCTTCCTCTTTGTATATTCTCTCTCTCAGTACTTGTACATTTTCAAAGTATTATTTACAGATATGCTCCAAACAGTCACAGGAACAGGATCAGAAAGCCCAAATGAAAATATACTGAGGAAAAACTGCACAGATCATCAGGGGAAAAACAAAACCCCTTCAACATTTGAGATATGACTTTCTTTGAAAACCCTTTTCATGCTACTGGGAAAGCATTCGTCTTTTGCTTTCCAACTGTATCTTCAAATGAGCTTTTGGTAGAACAGTGGTGCACTACAAGCACCTGGACTGCAGGAGGAAAAGTAGGGGAGCATATGCCAGTATCCCCATCCCAGCAGAATACAGTAAGTCAGGCAAGGGGAAGTGGAAAAATATTATTCAAAATAACGTTGCCCAGCTGATAAGTGCAGAATCCGCCCCTCTCTGATACACTGAGGATGGGTGGGGGGAATTCACTAAACACATTGTTTCCCCCCCCACCCCTGTCTGACTAAAAGGAAGAGACTGGAACAGTGTTGAAAAATTTTCATGCAGTACATTAAGAATAGCAGAGAAGAAAAATAAACATGCAGTAACTTTAATGAAGCCTCTTCTCTTTCCCAGGCGCCAAGTTCTACACTGCATTGACGATTATGCAGCCTCATGGAGGGAATGTGTATGGAACACGGACCCAGAATAAATTCACTCCTCTCAAACATTTTCCCCTTGAGGGAAGCAGCAATAGATGATGACAGTTAATAAGAGCTACCTTCCATAGTGTTGCAGATTTCCTGGCATTTCAGCACGTATTGGAGAATCTCTTCCTGCTAACTGCAGCAAAAAAGAACAAGCACAGGAAGAAAACTGCTTAGAGGTATTTTCTATTATTTTTGGCGGACTATCTATAAATTATTCCCAAGGAAGCCAATTGCAGAAAATACATATCACTCATCAAGACATATACTGTTTGTGTAACATAAACAAGGAAGGCTGAAGCGTACTAGATACAGACAGAACTGGGCATTCTTCTGATTTTGTGGTTTATTAATTTAATAACAGCCTATGGAGTTTTTTTCTGGATAAATAACTCCCTTTGGTCTTATAGCTCTCCTTGTGTATTTAGCCTTTAGCTGAAGTGATTCATTTGCAGTTGTGAGTACAGCCAGTACTGTGAAATAGGGAAGTATCTTCACTACACAGGTGTGAAACTGATGCATTTGAGTTCTTCAAAGTGACATGCGGGCAAGACAGATGCATCACTGCATCTGCTATGCTCAAATCCTACGTTAGTAACACAAAGAACAGACAGTGTTTGAGTACTCACTAAGATCATGTGCTCAAGAGCAGAAGCACATGCTGTGTTTCAACTTCTGAGGCTGTGCCAACATTGCTTACATGGCTACCTGCAATTATTTATTGAAGCATCATCTAACCAGCTAGCCACTTAGGCTGTTTATGCGATCTTCTTTTTAGTTATCAGCTATTCCACAGTACTCTCCCCCGTTTTTAGTAGGTTTACAGTGAGCATCAACTCAAACTAATAGTGCTGCATACGTAAAAGACATTACCATAGTCATCTGTGGGAATGATCCCTTTTTGTTCTTAGCGCTGAAGCTCATCTTCTGAGGTGGAAAAAGTCAAGTCAAACCTAAGGTTCCCTCTTCAATTGAGAGCATCATATAACAGCTAGTTAAATAGCTACACATATAGATTTTTGAAGCTCAGGGAACCACGGGCTTTAGCAGCTTCACCTTCATATGCTAATCCACCGAGGACTACAACACACACAAAGTTGAATGGTTTTTTTCTGAATGGCTCACTAAAAATATCTGCAGACGCTTACTTGATTCAGTTATGGGAGAAGAGAAGGTCCTGCAAATAAAGTTTCATGATTTTTGAAATTCACTTCAAGCAGCGTGAAACCTCTACTCATCAAACACTGAGCTGCTGGACAGAGGCTCCAAAATCAGTTACTAGGAATTCCTAAGACCTATATCAAAAATGGTGTATTTGATGCCTGCTTTACTAACCAGAAAAACAGCAGACAATTCAGTAAGTCACATGTTTAAAGTCTTACATGGCTTCAAAAAGTATCATCATCCCTGTCTTTGGTAGACCCAAATGCATATATTTTTAAATAATTTCATTTTAAAATAATACTTTCATTAAAATGCTATTTTCTCATGATGACAGAAGTACATGAGAAGGGCAGCTAGACGCACAGCTTATTTTAATCCTATTGTCCACTGTAAATAAAGGATTCAATAAAGGACTCATTTCTCTTCACAACTTGGCCTGGAATGGTTTGTAGATTTTTTTTTTTTTGGAAGGTGAGAGCGAAGTCAATATATAACGTTCACTGAAGTTTCTTCAGAAGGTCTCCACTGTTGCTATAGGCAATCATCAGGTATTAACCATCAGTAAAGTTCCTATCACCATCCCATACTCACATTACCAGAAGAATTCAAACTCTAAATGATAGGTACAAATATTAAGTGCTCCAAAAGCAGTAAATCTCACACTCCTAAACTGAAATTTAAAGGAGGAAGAAAGAGATACTGGTCTTTGATATTTTAGAGCTAGGTGTTACAAGACTGAAAAAAACAGAACAAAAAAACAGTCATACCTCAGGCTCCATGTGCCTTGGAAACAGAGATGTTGTGAGATACTTGTACAAAATTCTCATGTCATCTTGTTCCAGTCCACTCCTAGAACATTAGGGAGAGTTAGAAATGCAAATGGTGTTTGTGCTACGTTTCTCAGATCACCCATTTCCCCCTAACCACAGCCCAGGCAATAAAGCACACCTCCCTGCTGCAGGGCACACCAAACTAGGGTGGCAATCCTTCAGTGTCTCAGTACATCCAGTCCCAGAATAGTAATTCTTAATAGAAAGCCAGTTTACTTGCTAAATTCAAGACATATCTAACATACCTGTAAAATACAAGAGTCTCATCTCCTGCTATTAATCTATATTTGATGTCGTAGTTATGCAGTGCAAGCACAGAGTAACAAGTTTTTTTAAGCAATTCTTCCACAAAATAAACAAGGTTTCTCATCTGAGACGGTGCAATTCTCTTATGATTCCTAAAAGCCTTTGAATAAGAATGTCATCCAGCTACAAGTGAAATAGCATGCCATAAACAGCTGTGCCATGTCAGTAAATACCCTAAAAAGGTCTGAAACAGCTGAAGAGTTAAGTTGCTATTGATTTTGCAAACTTAAATACTCTTCTTCATTAAAAATGCAAATTTTGTCAATGTTTTTCACAGAGGGAGCCGAGATATATTAAAGGATAACTTTAAGTAAATCAAAGACGCTTTCCCAATGCTTATTACTTTTAGTTGCCCCTACAAAACCAAATATAGATTTATAAATTAGTTCTTTTGCTTGATTTCCTATGGAAGCCAGGGTTATACAGTATGCCTCCTGTCTATCAGCCTCCTATTCCTTCCCCAATAACTTTTGAATCCACTTGCCATATTTCTACCTAATTTAAGAGTAGCACTGATAGCTCAGAACTTTCACAAACTTCGTGGAAGACAGCCATCTTCAGCAGTTCATTAAGAGCAAGACTCACATCTACGGTCAATAAATATCTGGCAGAACTGGAAGAAGCCAGAATTATTGCAGGCAGGGAAGAACTGATTGATTGAAGAGAAGTAAAAAATATAGAACAGGCTTTGCTAATCTCGAGGCTCACGCAACAACTTTTCTTAGTATAAAAACAAACAAACAACTTTTTAAAAAGCAGTTAATTAGAAGTTATCCTGATTACCTACATCCGTATTGAACCATGTTACTTGTTACATAAGTTTTAGTAATGAAGCTTTGCTACTTTGTTTTGCTATAAAAAGAGTAAGCTAGATTTCACGTATTCTGCCACTGGTCATTTGCACTGTAACAGACTTAAAAAAAAACAACATGCATGTGGTCACCTAACAGAGCAGTATTTTTTTTAAACTGCCCCAATAGGGAGTTGAGAGCACATCTGATTTCAAATGAATCATCCTCTTTGGTTGGGGGTGGGGGAAGGGTACAGAAGGAAAGGCAGAAAATAATGAAAGAGGTATTATTATTTTTTTGCACTAATTATAAGTGTCATCTCAGTTCTTCATGCATATCTTCTCTCAAAAAAAAAAAATTTAAACAAACAATGATCAGGGTGCTATTCTTAAGTTCACTTTAAGTGAAAACTCTTGACAAGCATGGCCACCTTCCCTAATCTGCCCACCTAGCTTCTGTTTCAGAAACACATAGAGGACAATTAACCTTTAATCAGCCTTTTCTACAAAAAAGGTCCTACAGAGGAACTTGTGATATATACATAGCGGCTCTTTGGAATGGAAACGACAAGGATGCTTCTCCAGCGGCTCCTCAGGCACTCCCTTTGTACAGGTTAAAAATTTAAAAACTGGAGACCACTCCAGTTTTCTTATTCTCATGCAACTTTTCCACTGTTTCAGAAGCTTTGCAATTATGGCACATATTTATAGGATGAGAAATTAAAGACACAGAAACAAATTATTGAAGCACCTACCAGATAAGCTGGTCATTGTAGAGAAATGCAGTATACTTGACTATGTTCAGGCTTTCTTCCATCCTATTAATAAATGACTGAATTTTCAGGTAAGTCATTTTATCCAATGGAAAGAAGCTGATTCCACAAAACACATCCAGCAGGTCGCAAGACTGTAAATGCAATGTCTGCAAGTACTAAGAGAATAAAGACAGTTGTTTTTTTTAGAATTCAGAAAACTTCCACTGTGTAGATTTAAATGACAAATTTGACTCAAATCCCCTGTATTTCAGGCTAACAATCCAAGTATCCCTTCCAGTTCTGCATGTATGAAGTGCTCCTTCACTGGAATGTTTGTCTGTGATTCCAGATAGCAACTTACTATTATTAAATCACAGTGATAACAGCTTTTAAGGCTATCTCAAGATCTTATGAGAGTATAAGAAAGTATAGCCTATCTTAGTAATATCTGAATTCATAAGTAACACTACGAAAGTATTAGCAGATAGATTAAATTCATTAGCTTCCAATGTGCAGAGAAAAAGATCCATTTTTAATATTTTGTTTCTTCACAAATGTTAAGCTCTACCATGAGATTTTAGATGCGCTATCAAATGCTCTGCTCTGTGAAAGATGAATTATCAGATGGCTCCCTCTAGAGACAGCTGTTCAGTCATTTCACATTACCAAAAACAAGTAGTAAAGCATGTGTCCCATTTATGAATTTCAGTGCTTAGCACTGTGCACAGTATTATCATACTAGACTAGCAGGAAAAAGCTGACGAAACATCTGTTTCAGACACACAAGGCAGCATAGGCAAAGCAAGTTATGTCTTAAATTCACTCATTACAAAATTCTTTGTATACCAAGTGAAAACTTCCATTCAACCAAGCACATGCATTCATTCAGCACTGATCAGATCTGTCTAGTCAACTTTGTAGAATAATTTTATTAGCTTAAAATAGCTAGAGCCTATGCAATTCTAAACTGAATAGGAACGTTCTCGTTCACATTTACGTATTTGCAGTACTTACAGATAGACAATATGACAAGCATTTGTCACAAAGAGTTTATAACCTGAGGCTCGCTTCCTTCAAGAGGTTCAAGGCAGTCCAGCCCTGGCATCAGCATGTAGCCAATTCATTCAGTAGGGTTATAACTGAACAGCTTGCACAACCAAGCTTTCTAAGCACTGCTAATTCCCCACTGAAGAAGAGAAACAACTTTTCCTTGGATTTCTTTCTGCTGTACGAACCTACAGTGATTACTGGTTTATCTTCAGTAGGAACTTGAAAGAAAACCAATGTTTTAAAGATCAAAATCTTTAAAACTTCCCTTTTGTCACGTTCCGTTTTTGAATTTAGCATAGACAGAAGTATATACTAGCTAACCAACAAGTACTCCTTGTGCCAACAGGATTCATTCTATGATGGCCCTACCAAAAAATCACAAACTGTATTTTTTTTTTTTTTTTTTACACTGAAACAACATTAAGTCAGTGTTTTTTTAAAAAACATTAGAAAACAAAATTTTAAACACCAACATACACTTTCTACACTCTATCACTTATCAGAGATATCAATATTCAGATCTCTGCCACTAGAGAATTAACTGCTGACACCAGTCCTGATTCCTTTTGTGCAAAGAAGAAAGAGGGAGGCAGACAGGCACTTGGTTGCCATCGCCTAAAGCAAGCTTGAAAGAACTTTTCATGCAGAACTTAAAAGTTCTGCCACTCAGTTGTCTTTTTTTTTTATTTACTAAAAAAGTTACTTTTCAAGATTGAAGTTCAACAGTTAACCATTAAAGACAAGTTATAATAGAGGTTTATTTCCTGCAGATTCTCAGGCATGACTACTAATTCCACACGCAAGAAGACCTGTAATTAAAAAAAAAAAAATCACAATTCATCCATCACTGCACAGTACTATTGGACTTCAATATCTGTGCGTGCAGGTTGTGGTATCTTCACCATTGGATATAGTCAAGACTCAACTGGCAAAGCCCTATGCAGCCTAGTTTGCATTATCCTGTGTTATCCTTCTTTGAGCAGAAGGTTGGACTACAAGACCTTTCAAAATTCCTTCCAACGTGAATGATTCTATGATTCTGTAACAGTTACTCAAATAGGTCTGTACAGAATATCACCACGCTAATCAATTCAATGTTAAAGCGGAACTTTCAAAGAACGAGCATGATGCCATCAGAAAAAATATCCAATGGCTATGCTGTTCCACTGAGCTAATGACTGTTTCTAGTTCAACGCCATTTAAAGAATCTGCCATGATAATAGGAGGCAGGAAGTATTTGAGAAATGAGTAATCAGAATTTTTGTCTTGTCACTGCATCTTTTCCATTACGTATGTTTTAAAATCATGCTGCAGGCGCTCAGAAGAATTTGCATCTTATTTCCAAAGAAGTAGCACACAGTATGTATTTGAAAAGTGAGATCTCACCCGATGGAAGAATTTCTCTAGTCTCTCCTTTAGAACTTTTACACCTCCATCTTCCATGGCTTTCAGGAATGTGCCATTGAAAAGCTAACGATTAAAAGAAAAAAAAAAAGTCAGTCAGGTAGATAGACAGTTACATTAGTTTCTTGCTTCTCAACTATGACTATAACTAGATTACAACATAGCTCTTGTTTCCCAGTACCTCAGCTCCGCGTACACCCAGATTTACTTTTTTTATTGAAAAAGCCTCTTTCAGACTTACAGAGTCCAAGTACATATGGCAGTAGTAGCAAATTAGAAAAAGCAGCAAGAACTTCTTCACCATTAGAGAACTTAAATCTGCATTGCTTAAATCATCTTATGCTCTTGCTTTATAAAAGGGAGATTGATGGCCCTTGTCCAGTATTGTTTCTCCAACAGATAACGCATAACGGCATCAGAATCATATGCTTATTATTCTAAAAGCACATGAAAGAAGAAATCTGGACTTCAGAGAAATTAGAAGGGTCTTATTTTTACAGTGAGCTAATGAACCTGCACTGGCAACTGCAAAAGCATTATCTCTTCCATCACCACTATTACAGCTGCAGGAAGAGAAAAGACAACAGTAATGAGACAAGCATCTCAAAGCAATGATGAGCCTGCACATCCGAATGGTGCTGTGAAGCTCTCTTCTTCCCAGAAAAGGAGCCTCTGTATGATTATTTATTAACTCTACCTTGTACATGCTGTAGCACTGCTGCAGGACCGAACTATAAACCTTGTCCTGTAGAAAAGAGAGCAGGACATTAATATAAGCAGAGGCAGATTTCAAATGTTTTGACTGAGCTACACATAATACATGTTGTTGGAAAAAGCTCTCACAAAAATTAGAGAAATCAATCTCTAAAAAGATAAAAACAAATAATACTTTCAATCAGCATCTAGGATTTTATTCATACTTATAAAGAGTTGTTTCAACAGAGGGACTCCCCCCACCACCTTTTCTCACATTTAATACCAAAAAGCTGTATTTACTCACGCACAAAATATCAGTTACAAATAGTGCAGTTCCCTAAGGGCAGTGTTCAATGAATGTCAACCTCTTTCTGACCAGCTGCTTCTTCATCCTGTTCTAAGGCTAAAGGAGGTGGGACACTAGAGCAAGGTTTTATTTGGCTGGGATCTTAATCGGATGAAAGGCGGCAGTTTTATTGTTTGTCTGGGAAAACAGAGTGACTACAACACCAATCCTTTTCTCTGAACACAATGAGGAACAGAATCTAGTACGCATACTGTAGTGAATAGAGGCAGCATAAGCAAGTGCCTTTTAAAATGTTACTTCACCTGGCCAATTAAGCTTCCTGCATACAAACTGACATAATGATACTGCACTTTGGACAAAAAAAATCCCCTGATAGTTATAAGCTGTTTCACTTCCCAGATTATTAGTAAAGATCACCAGTATTCTTAAGCAAGTAACAACATATACTGTACTTAAACATAACAAAAATAGATTTAAAAATCTTACAAGAACCTTATTAAACAAACACATCCTAAGCGATATTGGCTTATTCCAAGCAAAAAGCCTTGCAGCAATATATTTCACTAGTGTTTAGTGACGTCGTCTTGAACTGCTATCTGAATAATTCTCTATCATACTTTCTTCTTTAAGCTTTATTGCAAAACACTTTGCCCCACGCCTTTTCCCATTTGTGGCCATATATATATTTTAAGTCAACTTGGCAGCAGCTGAAGAATCAAACTAAAAATTATTTCCGATGGTACTCTTAAAATATAATATAACCTATTAAAAAAAAAAAAAAAGGAGAGATTGGAAAGAGGAGATTAGTATTACCAGTAATTCTTCTTCCTGATATTCATAGACTGGCTTCCCATCTTTATGTTTTTCTATTATGGGGTTCCGTACAACCTAGAAAGTGGAACAAGCTGGTATTAGACAATGCAGAATGCATTGAGAACATTCTGAAATCTGTTTTAGAAATATGCATATCATGTGCATAAGTACCATGACCATCCAGAAGTTTTCTTCAGGTTCATGGAAAAATTGTCTATTCTTCTGTGTATGTAGGGATTTTGCAGGTTTTGTTGGACTAAAGGTCCTAGGAAGAAAATATATTATATATACAAAAAAAAAAATATGATTGGGAAATTCTAAAAGGCAGCGTTTGTGCTAATTTAATGAGCCATGCAATCATACTTCATACCTTGTAAATTGTACTATAGCTTCGCATAGTCCCACGTTTCTAATTTTTTCATTCTTTTCTACCTCATTTGGGTGATAGAAGAGAATCTTCTTTTCTTCCTAGATTTTGAAATAAGAATCAAGGCAAACGTATTTCAACAGAATCAGAGTTAAAGAACACCCAATTCACTTGACCTGCTTGCTACACTCTCACTAACGCAGCCCGGCATACTGTTCGTTTTCATCACCACAAGAGCACACTGCTGATTCATTTACAACCCCTTGTTCACTAGGGCTCTCTTGTCCTTTCTCCAAGGCTGCTTTCTACCCAGTCGGCCCCTGGCCTGTCACATCGCAGGGTATTATTTCATTCTGCATGCAGGATGCTGCATTTGCCTTTGCTGAACTTCATGAGGCCTCTTTTTAGCTCATTTCTCCAGCCTACTGAAGCCCCTCTGCAGAGCAGCCCTGACCTCCCACCTAGCAACAGCTTCCCCCCAAGTTGGGGTCGCTCGTGACCCCATTCTGTCCCATAATCCAGGCTGTTAAAAAAACATAATAAATACATTTACTTCAGTACTGCTCTGTGCAAAAACTCCATTGAAAACAGAGATTATCACATGAACAATACAATAGACTATTATCTAAAAATATACTTATAGCCTCTTGAATTTACTTATAAAAGATCACGAGAGCAAGGAGACACTAGCAGTAACTTGTATTTAAGTAAGACAAACTCCGAGTTATCTTCCACATTGCAGCTAGTTAGCAAATTAATTTCAGAAAGAGTTACCGCATTAAAAAAAAAAAAAGTTGCTAAGAGACCCATTTCTGAAATTTTACAAGCGACTGTTGCAAATAGCCTCAGTTACGGTTTTGTTTAACTCTGAACCAGAGGCCAAGCTGGAAGTACGCGACGCTTGTTTCTGCGGCCCCGCTGAAGGCGAGCCCCGGGGCCGAGCAGGCAGCTCGCGGCGGCGGGCAGGGAGGCCCCGACCTC